ACCCAGATCAGGGTTACCAGGGGATGGCACTTAGATCCGTGTACCCCACAGTTTTGGGGTACATCCAGAAAACAGGGAAAACTGTAACAGTATTAAGTGTATTAAGTGTCACACTGAGGGGAGGGGATGTATGGGAGGTAACTACTGTTCCATTGGTTACTGTCCTAATTATTGTAAATCCCTCCCTTGCATGGGAGAAACCTTTATAAGGAAACACTGTGATTAAAAGTTCAGTTCTGCTCCTGATGCTGTGTGTCGTCCAGTCATTGGGATTGAGGTTGGGATATTGTTGGAGTATTTTGCCTGCTGAAATATTACCCTGTCGATTTATAATACTTGTTCCTGAGCCTTACTGGGATCTAAAGTGGAGACAGGCTGTGTAAGACCAGCTCTCCGCTACAAGTTGGGCTTTATGGCAGAGTGGCCAGAAGAAAGCGATTACTTTCAGCAAAAAACAAAATGGCACGTTTTGAGTTTGCAAAAAGGCATGTGGAAGACTCCCAAAATGTATGGAGGAAGGTGCTCTGGTCTGATGAGACTAAAATTGAACTTTTTGGCCATCAAAGAAAACGTTACGTCTGGCGCAAACCCAGCACATAACCCAAAGAACACCATCCCCACAGTGAAACATGGTGGTGGCAGCATCATGCTGTGGGAATGTTTTTCAGCAGCTGGGACTGGGAAACTGGTAGTAGTTGAGGGAAAGATGGATATCCCTAAATACAGGGATATTCTTGAGCAAAACCTGTGCCACTCTGTGCGTGATTTGAGGCTAGGATGGAGGTTCACCTTCCAGCAGGACAATGACCCCAAACACACTGCTAAAGCAACACTTGAGTGGTTTAAGGGGAAACATGTATGTAACGGATCACCTGGCACCCCGACTGGGTACCTCTGTTGAAGGATGCTCCTAGCACTTCCTGAGGACTCCAAGCACTGCAGCAGACACCACAACCACCGAACTGGAGAAGCATACGAATGCTCTCAAGCAAATGAATGCTGTAAGCAGCTGAACAGGAAAAGCATACAATCAGCTTACACTCCTGGCAATCAGCATACAATCCAATTCCCCCAATAACGAGACAACACTTCATTTTGAGGTCAAGCAGAACTGACTGTACTGGCACATACAACCTCTTTTATTCACAATCCACAAACATAGTACTGCCCACAGGGTTTTGGAATACAACCAATCAATTCGTACAATACACACAGACACTCCCACACACAATCCTCCCCTCTGCCTGTGATATGATTACTGAACACAATGGTTAATATAATTATCACAGGCAGAGAAATACAGTATTATAAAACATATCACAGGGAGCCCAAAACATGCAATAACCCCATATAAAGTATATCCCCAGTACCGGGGGATCTGGGTGAACCACGTATACAAAATTCACCCAGATCCGTTCAGTAGTTTGGAAGATACAGTTTAATGCAGATTCCGCAGAACATATACAGGCTATATGAAAAATAATTACTGTTTAATGTGTCCCCTGTTGTATTGTTTAAAACTACTGCACAATGTCTCTGTGCACCAAATACGGGCGAGATGGCACTAAACTGGTTCATGGATTGCGGGATAAAACTTACCAGGAAAGGTTAAAGGATCTTAACATGTATAGCTTGGAGGAAAGACGAGACAGGGGGGATATGATAGAAACATTTAAATATATAAAAGGGAATCAACACAGTAAAGGAGGAGACTATATTTAAAAGAAGAAAAACTACCACAACAAGAGGACATAGTCTTAAATTAGAGGGACAAAGGTTTAAAAATAATATCAGGAAGTATTACTTTACAGAGAGGGTAGTGGATGCATGGAATAGCCTTCCAGCTGAAGTGGTAGAGGTTAACACAGTAAAGGAGTTTAAGCATGCATGGGATAGGCATAAGGCTATCCTAACTATAAGATAAGGCTAGGGACTAATGAAAGTTTTTAGAAAATTGGGCAGACTAGATGGACCGAATGGTTCTTATCTGCCGTCACATTCTATGTTTCTATGTTTCTATGTTTCTATGTGTAGAAAAGTCCAAACAGTGTCTGTGAGTTAAAATGGCCGCCATCCATTGTTCTCACCATGTGCCTCTGATACTGTGGAGTTACTGGGTGGCCACCATTTCATGTATGTCCCCAGATGGTTCTTAAAGGGCCAGCAGCATAATAAAATCAAGTATACCCACATCAGTTCCTAGAAGGGCAATACATCTCAGGGCCATAGTCGCAGGGCAGGAGGCTGGCAAACAGGCCCCTCCAAAAACCAGTGGCGAGGTTACTTTTGCAACAATGTAAATGTGTTGGAATGGCTTAGTCAAAGCCCAGACCTCAATCCAATAGAAAATCTGTGGTCAGATTTAAAGATTGCTGTTCACAAGCGCAAACCATCCAACTTGAAGGAGCTGGAGCAGTTTTGCAAGGAGGAATGGGCAAAAATCCCAGTGATAAGATATGGCAAGCTCATAGAGACTTATCCAAAGCGACTTGGAGCTGTGATTGCGGCAAAAGGTGGCTCTACAAAGTATTGACTTTAGGAGGGTGAATAGTTATGCACATTGACTTTTTCTGTTATTTTGTCCTTTTTGTTGCTTCACATTAAAAAAAAAAAAAAAAAATCTTCAAAGTTGTGGGCATGTTCTGTAAATTAAATGATGCAAATCCTCAAACAATCCATGTTAATTCCAGGTTGTGAGGCAACACAACACGAAAAATGCCAAGGGGGGTGAATACTTTTGCAAGGCATTGTATAAACTTACAGTCACAGGCAGAAAGTCACAGACAGACAGTCACAGTAGGCAGTCTCACACACACAGTCACAGGCAGACTGTCACACACACAGTCAAAGGCATTGACTGTGCGGCTCGATCTTTTTTGAGCGGGCTACTTGCACTGACCACAGTGAGCGGTCATGCAGCCCGCCTCGCACTAGGAGTGAGATTCGCGGGACTAGTGCGCTCTTAAAGATGCAGTGGGAGCCACAAGTTAGCTCATGCTCGAAATTGGTCTACGTCATTTAGGGGCCCCCACACATGCACGTTTTGGGGGTGTAGGCATGACGTGGGCCAAACAAATGTTCAGTAAGGCCATTTAAACTCCCCTAGCCCTATCCACTTTGACCTATTGTTGTTTCTGTTTCAGTACCCTTTAGTGCGTTCCTTGATCTATTATGTTTATGCTGGTATTGACCTTGGCTTTGTTCCTGACTCTGAGTTTATCTTTACCCTTTCCTGTCTTGTTTGTCTGTCTGACTGATTACCATGTTCCTGACTCTGGCTAGTTCTCGTTTTCGCTGTCTCTCTGTTGTCCTGACTTTGTCTCGTCTCTGACTACACTATATCCTTTTCTTGTCCCTTGCGGTCCTAAACTCTGTGTGTTGGGGGTATTACCCTGTGACACACACACAGTCACAGGCAGACAGTCTCACACACACAAACAGAAACACAGTCAAAGCCAGACTGACACATCCACACACACACGATTACAGGCTGACAGTCACACACAGTTACAGGCAGACAGTGACACACACACACACACACACAGAGAGGCAGGTAAACACACATAGAAACACAGTCAAAGGCAGTCAGTCACACACAAACACAGTTACAGGCAGTCACACACACACAGTTACAGGCAGGCAGTCTCACACACCCCTAAGGCCAACCCTGATCATGGCACCCCCCTAGTGAGTGGCACCTTAGTATGCCACTGAATTACAGTACAGGCAAAAGTGGGGATACTTGCCTGGGAAAGGACCTGAAGAGGCAAAGGTAGAAGGTGACAATACCTGCCTGGAAGAAGGAAGCCACAGCCTGGTTAGATGGAAGAGTTCCAGATAGACCCAAGTCAAGCTTCGGTGACTGGGTCTAAAGCATTCAAGGGTCCCAGCAAGTGGCCATGTTCTACTCTTTATGACCATGGCAACATGTGCATCATCATGTTTTCTCACACAGGGGACCTTTGTTGTGGTTGATCCTATGTTGCTGACTATGGAGTAATACCGCTCATCATTATCCCTTATCTTATGTACAAAAGTTTATGCACAATTGTTCATGCCTCGGCAGCATGCACTGGTTAGTTTGTGCGTTCCATTGTGTGTACAATTTGTTTTAAATGCTTGAGACTGTGTATATGCCTGGTCTGTATTTTGTTGAAAATCTCAATAAAAATTGAACACTTAGAAGAATAGGGTTTGTGGAGAGATTTCTGCTTGTGGTAGTTGAAATTAAGTCTTTTGTTAAAAGTTAAATTGACATTTAAATGTCAGTTCTAATTTGAATGAAATTAATTTGTCTTATTGGAATAACCAGTTGGGTGTAGAATTAAAAACTTTCAGTTGATAAAGCGAAATAGTAGAACAACAACATTCCTTTCTGCATTTAGCAAATAAACCTTTTATTTGCAAAGATGAAAATCACCATTTAGCACATGTAGATCTCATTGGACTCTTCCTGGCTAACAGACTTAAAATATGACATTTTTAAAGGGACACACCAGGCACAATAATAACTTCATCTAAATAGTGGTGATGTTCACTCTTCCCAGGTGACATCTGGCTTCTGAATTCTCAGATTCAGAAGGTGCAGAGTGCCACCGGACAGGGATGCCACTGATTGGCTGAGAAAATCAGCTGACCGCTCTCAGCCAATCAGTGTCTCCCTATGCACAAATCTGGCTTGCAAAGAAACATACCTTTTTTGCATGCCAGTTTTGTGAATGGGGAGTCACTGATTGTCTGAGAGCATCAGCTGACCCCTCTCAGTCAATCAGCGACATTCCCAGCCCTGAAGCACTCCGCGCCTCCTGGATCTGAAAATTCAGAAGACTGAAGCCGCCTGGGAACAGTGGACATCACTGCCATTTCTACTATGTTAAGAATATTAACAACTCTTGTTTGAACTCCTCTTTGGACAAGATGTTTGTTTTGTTTTTTTGTTATTTTAAAGATATAATGCCATACAGAATACTGATGTAACATTTTAAACAAAACATGGCAGATAACAAACCTTCTTTATTTGTTCCATTAGCATACTTGAAGAGACGAAGAAATCCATTGTCAAGGTCATGGCCATCAAGAGTCCAATCTAAATTGGTTGTTAACCAATTTGTTGGCTCATACTCTCTAAGCTCAAAACCCTGAAATCGAGACAGGGATAGATAGAAAACCATTACTATAATGAGCAGATTAATTACTACTATAAGTATTCACTACTACAGTGATCCTTTCTTATTATACTTGATTCCTATGTTTTCAGGGCAGGTTTTTTTATTGGTGAGAGTGAGCACATTAAAGACCACCATTCCACCTAAAGCATAGTTAATATCCACACCGAGGCAATCTAATGCAGCAAATAATATGTTTACAATAGATATAGAGATACTAATTTGCAGTTACTGTATCAAGCTCTAAATTGCTTATCTACATGTAGAAAACATGCTTATTCCTATTAGGTTTCATTAAAGCTGCATATATACCCTATACAGTGACATACACACAATCCATGGGGCCCCAGTGCGAAACTGATCCATGGGGCCCCCTGCTCCCTTTCCCCCCTTCTCAATCCCCCCCCCCTCGACAGACACACACACACACATACAAACATACATAGACACATGCATACAGACACATACATACATAGAAACACATAGACACATACAGACAGACACATACAGACAGACACATACAAAGACACATACAGACAGACAGACAAAGACACGTACGTACGTATGTACGTACGTACGTACGTACATACATACAAACAGACAGGGACACATACATACAGAGACAGACACAAACAGACATACAAACGTATACACACAGATACAAACACACACACACATATACAAAATGTTTAAGTCACCCTCCTGTTTCCTACCTTTTAGGTGCAGGAGGGTGACTTTCCCTGGGGTCCATTGGTGACTCAGGTTGATGGGAGTCAGAATTCCAACTCTGACTCCCTCTCCTACCTCCCGTGCGGATCTCTGATAGCTGGGAGGAGTGACTGGGACAGTTACTTCCTCCAAGCAGTGATCTCATTACAGGGGCAGTGCTGACTGAGCCCCCTGGAAATCCATACCCATTGGGTGGCCCTAACAGCATGGGCCACTCAATGGGCCCATTGAACGTGCAGCCCCGACGGTTTGCCGTGCAGGCCGGGGCTGCAAAACATGGCTGCTGGTCAGCCAAGGGGGCCCGGTCACAGGGGTCTGCAGCGTGGCCGGGCCCCCTGGAGTGACGGGCCTGGTCGCAGCTGTGACCCCTGCAACCCCAATATGTATGCCACTGACGCTATAGGTCATTTCTAGGTGGTCCCCTTTTAAAAATGAAAAATCATTTAAAACTTACCTGAAATCCAGCTGCAGGCAAAGGTTCCACATTGATCACCCTCCACCATCGAACACCGTGGCAGCACTTGCATTGTACAATTGCAGGCTTCTCGTAGATTGGACCATTTTGCCGGCTCACAGCACATGCGCACACCTTTCATTCCATTGACAGATACATGTTCTAAAATTAGGTCTTTACATTATATGATTATATGGTACCCAGGTTAAGTCAAAGGAATATCCACTTACCCTAAATTTCTCCACCACTTGATACCTGGGACACTTAACCCCTTTACAGAAATCAGGAGTCTTGTACACATCAGAATCTTCTTCTGTCACCCCACTGCCCGACACAAAGAGGAAGCTCAGCACCAGAATTTGTAGCATGTACATCCTTACAGTTGGATAGTACCCAAAGCTTAGTGCCAGGAACGGGCACATATTGTCCTTTTATACTGTATGAAGGGGAGTGTCACGGAAATTAACCAGTGCATTGCTACACACAATCTCTAAACTATACAAGCTGTTGAAATGAGTATATCTTAGATTTTTTTTCTTATGGCAAAATTCACTCTTTAATAAGTACCTTATTTTTAAACTGCAAGGTAATTATAGGGTATAAGGTACATCCTGATTAAAAATGGAACAAGTTATTTATCTGAATTGTTAGTGTAGGACTTACCTAAGAGGTTTGCCTTGATGTAGGAGGCTGGATTACTCTTACATGGCCACTGGAGTCATACTAACAATGCCTCCAGTTATTTAAATGTGCATGGGGATTTGGAATTGTGTGCAAGTAACCTTTTTATTTGGCTTTTATTAGCGTAGGCAAACTCACAAATACACATATCGAAATTTAATCTAAAATTTTTCTTTAAAGTGAGCATTCATTTTTACTATTGGACAAAGACATGTAGCTTTTGTATCAAGACCATTTGTAGTTTATAAACTGAACTGGCAAAACACACCCCACCAAACCCATACCTGTTTTTCAATTTTCTTACCGTTACAGACCAGGGCTGTTTTTACATTTCTTCGGTGTTTCTGTTTTGCTGTAAGTTTCCTCTTACTCATTTACTGTACTCACACCTATTACACAGCATTTTTCTCGCCATTAAATGGTCTTTTTTAAAGATACCATTATTTTCATTATATCATGTACTTTTCTAACTTGGACCCCCAAAATCTGTTACGCATCTACAAGTGCCAAAAAATACCCGTGCTAAATAGTTTCTAAATTTTGCAATTTATAGGGCTATAAGTAAAAGTAGGACATTGCTATTTCAAAATATATATTTTTAAAATGTATCAATAGTGACATTGTAACACTGTTATCTGTCATAAATCTCTGAATCACACCTCACATGTACATATTTTTTTTAAAGTAGGCAATCCAGGGTTTTCAATATGCGGTATGTCCAGTCTTTTTAGTAGCCACTTAGTCACAAACACTGGCCAAAGTTAGCATTTATATTTTTTTTGTGTTTTAAAAATGCAAAAAACTATTATGAATGCCAACTTTGGCAAGTGTTTGTGACTAAGTGGCTACTAAAAAAGACTGAACATAACCCATTTGCAATACCTTGGGTTGTCTTCTTTTGCAAATGGTATGCCATCATGGGGGTAATTCTCATTCTGGGGCTACCATATGCCCTCAAAGGCAACATAACCAATCTGGCAAATTTCAATATGAGTAAATGGAAAATCGAGCCTTATATTTGACCCTGTAATTTTCAAAAATGCTATAAAACCTGCACATGGGGGCTACTATTATACTCAGGAGACTTCGCTAAATGCAAATATTAGTGTTTCAAAACAGTAAACCGTATCACAACAATGATATCAACAGTGAAAGTTCCATTTGTGTGTGAAAAATGCAATAAACTTCACTTTCACTGACAATATCAACACTGTGATATGTTTTACTGTTTTAAAACACTAATATTTGTGTACAGCGAAGTCTACCAAGTAAAACAGTACCCCCCATATACAGGATTTATGGTGTCTTGGAAAGTTACAGGGTTAAATATAGTGCTAGCAAATTAAATTCACTGGACTTTCGGCCTGGGTTGTCAGGCAGGTCCCCCAAATTGCAATCAATAAAATTATTTAATCATGTAAAAATATGCATGTAGAATTTAAATATATATACAGTGGGACCTCTGTTTACGAATTTAATTCGTTCTCCGGGGCGTTTCTTATTGCGAAAAATTTGTAAACCGAAATGCGGTTTCCCATAGGAATGCATTGAAAACCAATTAATCCGTTCTGGAGGTCAGAAAAAAGTAAAAATGAGCTGGCATGGAAACTAACCCACAATGCAAAACACACAGTAAAAGGCATACAAATGACGAAGCTCCCTACCTTTGAACAGCTTGAGAAATGCACCGAAAAGTCACAGAACAACTGCAATTTCCAGAATGGCTCTAAAACTCGATGCAAAAGCCACTCCAACACCTCCAGACTCAACGCCACGTGCTACCCACAGGCTCCAGCATGCAGGGAGCAGTTCTATAAACTTCCCAGGTGCAATGCATCCTAGGGAAACTTTCTTTGTATTGTGAAAAAAAAAATGGTAAACTGAGTTTAAATTTTTTTTACATTTTTTATTTTTAATTATATATATATATATATATATATATATATACACACACACACACACTATATATATATATATATATATATATATATATACACACACACACACACACACACACACACAATATATATATATATATAGTTATTATATATGTGTGTAATTTTACTTTATGTATTTTTATATTAATATATGTATATATATTATTAAAAAATACACTTAGTATAATGTTATATATAAGAGAGATGCCTGAAGGCCTACTGCGGCCATGTGACCGTTCTTTCAAAACGATCACATGGCCCACTTGGGCCTAATTTGCAGAGGGGGGGAGGGGGACTGTCTGGGCTGTCAGACAGTCCCCCCAGTGGAGAAAAAGACTGATCGCCGGTGAGGCAACGGAAGCGATCGCGTAAGTACATAGGATTACCTTGGACGTACTAGGTACATCCGACATCCTGGCGGGAGGGGTGTTTAGTTATATTTAATTTATTTTAATAGATTTTTTTCCATTACATTTTTTTAAAATTTATCTTCACTGATTGCCTCGACCCCTCGAGGCACTCAGCAGACAGGCAGAGCATCTGCCTGATGGCTTCCGTTTCTCTGCCTCACTGCTGGGCACGATGTGGGGGAGCGATCACCCAGCAGCCCGGTGTCAGGATCTGCTCTGCTCTGTTCTGATGTCTGACCATGGCTTCTGGTATCTTTATGCTGGTTTTTCTGGGTCTGGTTTTCTTTATGCTGGGTTTTCTGGGTTCATTCTTGTATTCTGTCCCTGGATTTCCCAGTCGCTTGGATTCATTTATATGTTGTTTTATGTTGCTACACCCGTTTGTTTTCCACTTTCCTTTTGTTTCAGTCTGGACCTGCAGCAGTGTTTCAAGTCTCTGCCCTTTCTTGCAGGTGTGGTTTAGTATGGATCTTTTAGTATACATTAGGCAGTGTAGGACCTGCCAGATATGGGGTACATTGGCGTTGTTGGCAGGCTTATGCAATGTATGATCATATAATGTAACTAAATCCCCATGCTTTTCATATATAGTGCTTAGTTATGTCTTCTCTTGTTTTGCCTATTATATCTTGTCTTGTTTTAGTTTGTAATCCCAGTCCATGTACAGTCCTGTCCCGTCCTGCCCGTTTAGTTAATGTTCCCTTATGTATTGTGTACATGTTCTGGGTTTAGCTTCCTCTCCTTCTCTGGTTCTGGGTTCTACTAGTTCTGTCTTGGTTTCATGTTTGGTGTCTTTTCTAGTCTTTTCTTGATTCTGTACTGGATACATACCTGTTGCAGAGCCTCCTTATTCAGCTCCTGGGAGGTCTGCTTAAATACCTGCCCCTAGTTCTTGGGATCCGTTTTAGCTGCATCAGGGTTCTGGTTGTGGCTGCACAAACTCTGATGCTCAACACCAGGGGGCGTGCGGTTACCCTGCACCAGATCCTGCCAATCCCCCTCCACACTGTGACTCCTACTTTGAACATCAGGCATATTGGGTCCCGGTCCACGCACCGCCGCCCGCACAGTGTCTGGGTCCCGGGCACCGGACCACCACCCGTGATCCGTGATTGTAGCCCGCCTTTGCACTTTTTCTAATGCCATAATATCTTAATATATAATATCATATATGTTCTACACACAACCTTGATAGTACCACTGCTTTACCACATGCATGTGCCCTGCCAATACACAGCACTGCATTATCCAATGCTTAAACTTTGTTAGGGTCTACAAATGCCTAGACTATAGTGAGGTATGCTCTACATCTCAACGGAACTACTGCCATTATAGAATGATAGTTTCTGTCACCCACACCATCGCAGTCCCCGTGGTAGTTCTCGTGTATTTGAGAGCTCCTGATCCCCACTGTACAGCGCTACGGAATTTGCTGGCACTATATAAATAATAAAATAATAATCCTGGCTGCTTGTGGTAACGAGTTCAGTACAATCACCCCTGAAATAGTTCCCCTGACACCTCAAGATCTATCTAATCTAACATTTTCATGTAGTTTGCATGGATGATAGATAGTAGATTTTATATATATATATATATATATATATATATATATATATATATATATATCTAACAAGCAGGGTGTTTTGTACATGCAGCTATATTTATTGCATGTGTTGCTAGTTTAAAGGCAGTATGTTGAATTATAAACACTATACCACTGATTTCCATCTTAAAATTATTTACACATAGGTACCGTGAGAGCTGGAGTATGCCCTAAAAACCAAACCATGTGGATATCTCTCCTGCTGTATTGATATATTTGTCACAGTTTTTTGTCAAGCAGAAAAGACCCTCAAGTATAGATTGGTTGGAATTACCCCATATTTACAACTTGAAGCATCCTTATATCCTTTAACTATAATTGCTAGCTATTAAATATTTTATGACTTTAGACCATTCTGGCAGTGCATGGTCAGAAGTATTATAACAATAGAGGATAGGACGTGGCAGGATGTGGCAGGATTTAACCAGTGAATCACAGCTGAGGACTTGCTTCCTGAGAACATTGCAAATCAGGTGCTAAGGACAGAAATCCTTTTTAGTTATTACTAACAAACTTTATGACAAAATAATTACAAACTGTCAAATACCCTGTTAAAATTGAAGCTTTGTATAAATACCATACACAGTGCAGCTACAGTAATATATCTATACTGAGAGTCTCAATGTCCCCAGAGCTTTATCTCCCTCCTGTCTAGCTAAGAAGGAAGGAGGCTGTCACTTACAGTCCCTTTACACTGAAATTATTTACAGCAGCTCTGTCTCGTCAGTATTTCATAAAGAATTACAGGGTTATTCAGTAAGGTGAGAATTTGAAGTGAATTTAAGTTTGACACAAGGTCATAAGACATTTAAGACCAAAGTAGCTGAACTGGAAGCATAAGTAAATTAGAGAATGTTTTAGTTTTGACTACTGTGGCAGAAGCACTGTTCATATGTGTATTTTCCCCTTTGTGTGACGTGCTGCCCTGGCTTTTCACATCTTATGCCCTATTCCCCAGTCAGGAGCATTCATACGAACAGAACCCGTTCATCTCCCGATCGTGGACCACCCCGATGCCCGATTAGAATGTTCACAGCAATTATAATGTTCACATCTGCAACATAAGTGTGAAACCGCACAGGAAGTAATTAATGAGTGCTCCCCTGGGTGGCTGCCATTTCGTATAGGTGAACGTAAAACCAATCCCGAATGGAGACATTACCCTGCATGGTTTGTACACAGGAATCTCATGAACGAAGCCTGGTCCAGGAATTGTACCTTTGTGAGGGTTCCTGAGGTTGGTGTGGGCACTGGCTATTTTGGTGGGCTTTTCTGTGCCAGGGAGATCCACAACTTGGGTCCCAGGCACAGAGGCTCTTGGGATTAAGATCCCCGTCATCTTGGGTGGGAGACTCCTCACCTGGGTGGTGGGCTTTCTACACCTGGGAGACAAAGGGACAGAGACCCCCCTTTCCCGCGCTTTGGCTCCCAGGTATAGAGGATCCTGGGATACGACCTCTGTTTGTTTGTGGTGAAGACTCCTTGCATGGGCATATGCATAAAAGTAATGTGTGGCTCAATAAAGTTGTGTTGTACGGGAGTGTTGTTCTGGGAAGAAGCTGTGTCTTGTCCAGTTACTGGGGGGAAATGGATGCCTGCTTGTTTAAGGGTTCTTGAGTGGCCGAAGGAAGGTATTAGCGGGGGTAACAGGTCGGTTAACCCGGAGTCCACTACAACTACTTTCCCCTTATAAATTCACATTGAATTCACTTGGAATTCACAGTTTAGTGAAAACGTCTGATAATCTTTATGGCATGCTTCTGATAATCTTTATGGCATAAGGATTCTGACTGCATTGGAATTTCAGGCGTGGCAAGAGCTGCATAAAATAGTGATTTAACTCCTAAAAAGACGAGAGTGTAGGAGCATGATCTATGCAAAAAAACTGCTTCATTAAGTTGTTTTGATGCTTAGGAGAATCCCTTTAATATAAATGAAAAAGAAGCTTTGCATGAAAAAAAAAGATTGATCCAAGTTAAAGGGACACTATAGTCACTAAAACTACTTTATCTTAATGAAGCAGTTTTTGTGTATAGATCATGCCCCTGGAGTCTCACTGCTCAATTATCTGTAACTTAGGAGTTTAATCACTTTTGTTTCTGTTCATGCAGCCCTTGCCACACCTATCCTGGCTGTGACTGACTGTTAGGAATATTAGGGAATCCCACATGCAGAGTGTAAAGGAATAGTAACGTTAGAATGGCTGGACTAAAGTCACAAGAACAGAGAGTAATAATAAACGAGCCAAGGTCTGGGATGCCAGAAATCAGGAACAACGATAATACAAGAGTCAAAGAAATACAGAAAGGAGAATAGTCAATCTAAGCTAAAAGTCAAAATCCAAGAGAACAATATGCGCTATTGGGACTATGCAGAAGCACAAAAGGGCAATGAGACTTTCCCTGAGCTCCCCTTAAGTACTGTGTTCCTTGATATTAACCCACGCCCCCAAAACATTAGAATTTTAATGTTTTGGCGGGCATTAGCGCCATGATGTCGGCATGCCTGCGCCACGTCATTAAAAGGGGCGAAGCTATCACGGTCTTCGCAAGAACCGCTAGAAACAAGAGGAGAGCTCCTGGTAATGTCCCCAATCCCCTGCTGGATGGTGTTAGCTTGTGCCAACACACAAGGCACCCTGAAAGGACCCTCCCTACGAGAATCGCCCACCGGGCGGAAAGGACCAGGACGAAGAAGGCTAGGAGCATGGATGTCAGAACCATCAACCCAAAATCTGTCTTCCGGACATTGGCGTGTGCAGCCTATTGCATTAGGGTGTGCACCCTAAAGCACAAACACACACGCATGTATCTATCTCTATCTATATATCTATATACACACACACACACTCTGTGTGTGTGTGTGTGCTGTTAGTGCGCTGTGTGAGGGTGCTGTGTGTGTAAGGGTGCTGTTAGTGTGATGTGTTTGTTTGTGAGGGTGCTGGTAGTGTGCTGTGTGTGAGGGTCCTGTTAGTGTGCTGTGTGAGGGTTCTGTGTGTGTGCTGTTTGTGTTGTGTATTTGTGAAGGTGCTGTTTGTGTGAGGGTGCTGTTAGTGTATGATGTGTGTGAGGCAGGGCCGGCGCTACCTGTAAGGCAGACTAGGCAGCCGCCTAGGGCGCCCCTTGGGAAGGGACCCCGCCAGGATCGCCGGCCCCCCTCATGCTGCAGCCGCCCGAGCGCTCTGTAGAGAGCCTCAGGCGGTTGCAGCTTTGCCCGGGCTGGTGCGTCCATGAGGGCGGCCCGCAACGCCCGGGCGCAGCATGAGGAGAGGGGCTGACAGGAGGGAAGCACTCAGCGCTCCCTTCTGTCACTCCCTCACTGTAGCGTGGCCGAGCTCTGTATGGTCCGCGGGTACAGGGAGCATCTGTCTCCTGTACCCGGCCGGACTAACAGGAAGTGCACACTCAGTGTTCACTTCCTTTTAGTCAGGCCGGGTACAGGAAACAAAAGCTCCCTGTACCCGCGGACCATAGTGGGCTCGGCCACGCTACAACAGAGGTAGGGGAGGGTGGGGGAATAAATTGAAATTGAGGGTAGGGAATAAATTTAAAGGGAGGGTGGGGAATAAATTGAAAGGGGGGGAATAAAGGGATGGAGGGTAGAATAAATTGAAAGGTAGGTGGGGAAATAAATTGACAGGGAGGGAGGGGGAAATAAATTGAAAGGTAGGGTGGGGAATAAATTGGGAGGAATAAATTGAAATGGAGGGTAGGGGGAATAAATTGAAAGGGATGGAATAAATTGACAGGGGGGGGAATAAATTGACAGGGAGGGGAATTGACGGGGGAGGGGTGAAGAGGGACAAGCAGGGGAGAAGAGGGAGGGGGGAGAAGAGAGGGACAAGCAGGAGAGAAGAGAGTGACAAGGGAGGAGGGAGAAGAAGAGGGACAAGCAGGGGAGAAGAGAGTGACATCCATCACACACACACACACACACACTGCACCCCTTACACACGAAGACAATGCACCCCTTGCACACAGAAAAACACACACAATGCATTACACACACACAGACACAAGCAATGCAACCCTTACAAACAGAAACACACAATGCATTCCTTACACACACTCAATGCGCAGCCCTTACAGACGCACACACTGTATCCCGTACATACACAGAAACACACCTTGCAGTCCTTACACATACAAACACAGATTCACACAATGCATTCCTTACACACATACCAGGACATCCCCCTACTCCACCCCCTGTGAACAAACTCATTGGTGGAACATGAAGGTGGACCCAGACCTTGAGCTGTGTAAAGGGCTCCCCAAAAATGGAGCTGCTTCCCGTTCTCCCAGAATATTGATTTTTGTGACCACAGTTACAAACAGCCTCCAGAGAGCTAGTAGTGATGTTGCGAACCCGAAATTTTCGGTTCGCGAATGCGAACTTCCGCAAATGTTCGCGAACCGGGCGAACCGCCATAGACTTCAATGGGCAGGCGAATTTTAAAACACACAGGGACTCTTTCT